CGGGAGTTTCTGTAGATATAGAAGAAGGGGCGCGCGCTTCTGGGCGAGAGGGAAACGACCGAGAGAAGAAGGGGCGGCCGCCCCACAGGACCTCTCCATGGTGCCGGAAGCCCATCAGGGCTCCCTCAGGGCCCCTCCCCCAGGGCCGGGGCTCCCTCGCCTGCCCCCTCCCCCTCCTCCTCCTCCTCCTCCTCCTCCTCCTCCTCCTCCTCCTCCTCCTCCTCCTCCTCCTCCTCCTCCTCCTCCTCCTCCTCCTTCGCCCCCGTCGGCATATCCAGGCGTGTTATGCAGTCAGGTCGTCCGTCCAGAAACGGTGCCGGAGGCCGCTCTGGGCTCCTCTGGGCACCTCCCCCCGGGCTGGTTTTGTGAGGATGTCTCAGGCGAGGGCGCCGGTTTGGGATTCGTCACCGGATCCAGCGGATCCAGCGGATCCAGCGGATCCGTCCGGAAACGGTGCCGGAGGCCGCTCTGGGCTCCTCTGGGCATCCCCCCCGGGGCCCGTTTTGTGAGGATGTCTCAGGCGAGGGCGCCGGTTTGGGATTCGTCACCGGATCCAGCGGATCCAGCGGATCCGTCCGGAAACGGTGCCGGAGGCCGCTCTGGGCTCCTCTGGGCATCCCCCCCGGGGCCCGTTTTGTGAGGATGTCTCAGGCGAGGGCGCCGGTTTGGGATTCGTCACCGGATCCAGCGGATCCAGCGGATCCAGCGGATCCGTCCGAAACGGTGCCGGAGGCCGCTCTGGGCTCCTCTGGGCATCCCCCCCGGGGCCCGTTTTGTGAGGATGTCTCAGGCGAGGGCGCCGGTTTGGGATTCGTCACCGGATCCAGCGGATCCAGCGGATCCGGATCCGTCCGGAAACGGTGCCGGAGGCCGCTCTGGGCTCCTCTGGGCATCCCCCCCGGGGCCCGTTTTGTGAGGATGTCTCAGGCGAGGGCGCCGGTTTGGGATTCGTCACCGGATCCAGCGGATCCAGCGGATCCAGCGGATCCGGGAAACGGTGCCGGAGGCCGCTCTGGGCTCCTCTGGGCATCCCCCCCGGGGCCCGTTTTGTGAGGATGTCTCAGGCGAGGGCGCCGGTTTGGGATTCGTCACCGGATCCAGCGGATCCAGCGGATCCGTCCGGAAACGGTGCCGGAGGCCGCTCTGGGCTCCTCTGGGCATCCCCCCCGGGGCCCGTTTTGTGAGGATGTCTCAGGCGAGGGCGCCGGTTTGGGATTCGTCACCGGATCCAGCGGATCCAGCGGATCCAGGATCCGTCCGGAAACGGTGCCGGAGGCCGCTCTGGGCTCCTCTGGGCATCCCCCCCGGGGCCCGTTTTGTGAGGATGTCTCAGGCGAGGGCGCCGGTTTGGGATTCGTCACCGGATCCAGCGGATCCAGCGGATCCGTCCGGAAACCGTCCGGAAACGGTGCCGGAGGCCGCTCTGGGCTCCTCTGGGCATCCCCCCCGGGGCCCGTTTTGTGAGGATGTCTCAGGCGAGGGCGCCGGTTTGGGATTCGTCACCGGATCCAGCGGATCCAGCGGATCCACCGGATCCGTCCGGAAACGGTGCCGGAGGCCGCTCTGGGCTCGTGCTCTTCGCGCCGGGGGTGAGGATGACGTGAGTTCCAAAGAAACTCCCTCAAATTAATGCCAACTTCCATGCACAACTTGCAAAATTATGAGTTCCAGCGTTTTTCTGCAGTGGTTCTGAAGCAGTACATGTTGCAGACATCCACATAAGTACAATTATGCAATTTGTTAGCGCATCACACACGACGAAGTCTTATAAACATAATGGAAACCACGAAGCGCAAACACGTGAAGCCTAATGCACTAGTGTTGGATCCTTTAGTATTTCAAGGTGTTGTTTTTGAGCGAAATAGAAAATATGATTAAATGGTCGAAAATGGTTTCAGAATCTCAGCAAGCTTTAACGGGAATTTCGATAATCTAAATTGAGAAAATTGTACCCAGCAAGCAACGGCATTATATTGTAAGAGAATTACGGATTCATCAGAGCCGAAGCAATGCATTCAATACAAAAGTATAACAGCAAACGATATATATACATATATATATATATATGTATATAAACATGTAAATTAGATGATTTTTTATACATATGTATATTATATTTACATTCGTAACTGGTCTCATTTTCACCTTTTTTGGTCGCGTGTGGTCCTGGTGGTCATTCGACGGTCCCCGGTTCACCTCGCTTTTGCTCGTCTGTTTCCCCGGTGGTTTGTTAACGGCATCGTTTTCAGTTCGTTTTTGTTCATGACCCGGCTGGTCTCTCGACGGTCTGCATTTTTACATCATTTCCGGTTCGCCCGTGGTCTCACCAGTCTGGGATTCTTTTCTCGTTGCCGCCTCGTTTTGGTTGGCCCGTGGCCCCGTGGTAACCATGTTGGTCTAGCGGTTTGCATTTTCATGTCCTTTTGGATGGCCATTTGTCCCGCTGATTTTTGGACGGTCTGCGCTTCCACCTCGTCTTGGGTCGCCCGTGACCCTGGTGGGCTCTGAACGGTGTGCGTTTCCATTTCGCTTTAGTTCGCCCGTGGCATTTGTTTATTCTTATATATATATATGTATGTGTGTATGTATGTACATATTTTCATCTCTTTTTGGTCGGCCCGTGGCCCCTTTGGTCTTTGCACGTGGCCCCAGTGGTCTCTCAACGGTTTTCCTTTTCACTTCGTTCGGGTTCGCCCGTGATCCCGCTGCCCTAATGATCATCGTTTTCACATCCCCTCAGGTCGCTCTGGTCGCGCTGGTCTCTGAACGGCCTCCGTTTTCGCATGTCCATGGCTCGTCGCTTATCTCTGAACCGTCTTATTTGTACCTCGGTTTTGCTCGCCCGTGGCCTCGCTGGTCTCTCAACGTCTCTGCTTTCACCTTGTTTTGGGTGTTCGAGCCCCCGTGGTGTGGGATGTGTTTGTATTTCCATTATGGTCGCCTATGCTGCTCTCTGCACGTTTTTTTTTTTTTTGGTCGCCTGTGGTCCCGCTGGTCCCTGGATGGTTTCTTCTTGTTTCTTCACGGTCCGTGACCCAGCTTGTTTCTTCCCGCTGGTCCCTGGATGGTTTCTGCTTTGGCTCGTCCGTGGCCCAGCTTGTTTCTTCACGGTATTGTTTTACCTTCTTTTCGGCTCGCACGTGGCATGTTTCTTCACGGTCTGTATGTATGTCGTAGAAGATCCATCAGAGCGTATCAGCGCAAGGTTGTGATCATATCGGTGGCGCTGGTGCCTAATTGGTTCTGAGTTTTTGGAGATTCAACAGCGCGTGCAGGTCGAAACGATTTTTGAAGCAGCTAGGATATGATACGCGTCTGTCAGCTGGATCTAACCAGTCGGAGCAACATGAGTGGGGGAGACTGGTGATGAACCCACTTGCGGGGGCAGCACATTTTTCAGTTGTAGTTGTTGTTTATTTCGCATTCCATGAAATCAACAGAGACAAGAGCCAACCGACAAGGCGCGTCGAATGAACATTTGTGTGCTTCATTGTCGTGCGACGAAGGCTGTTTTAGCAAGGAATGCATGTCTCATTGATTAATCCGAGGGTACATTGACGCACTTACACATATTTGTCGGCTGTGATCTTGTGATAGTGTGTAATTCGTGAGGACGCTTCGCGCGAGAATTCGAATGTGAAAACGAACCGTCTTCAAAGCGTTTACGGGTATTCTCGAGTTGGTTTTAGTATCATATTGTGTTCGGAAGCCTCAGGCGATGACCCGATTTTGAGCACCAACCGTTATCAAATTGTGTCAGGGCTGTCGCGCCTGATTTGGTCATATGCAATGCGAGGGATGAGGCACGAGTTCTATCTTTAATCGTACCTTTCGGCATTATGTCATTTGTGAAATGCCCTAGTTGAGAGCTTGATTTCGAAAAGGAGGCGCCCTTCTATTGTGTAAGGGTAGTGGAATATTGACTTTGGGTATTGGGTATATATGAATTCGTAAGAACTGTGGGGAAGCTGTGGCGGCCACGCCGCCTTCTCATATTTGCCCGAGCAGCAGGCAGCTCAGCAAATAACTCTCTCTATCTCCCTGGTCATCGCATTTGGGCAGAGGACAGGGCGGAGTCCCCCTCCCTGTCCCCTTCTTCTCCTTCTCCACCTCCCTTTCGCCCGTGTCCTCGACTCCGCCTCGCTTCCGCCCCGTCCGTACTTCTGTTCTAGCCCAGGTCCCCGTCCCATCCCCCTCCCTTGATTGCTGGGACGTGCGCAGAGCAGCCTCCTAATACGAGTGCCGTGCGTGAGTGGCCGGATGGTGCTCTGCATCTGTCGCGCAGAGGCGCGTGGGTGAGACAGGGTAGACATATTCGAACGTCCGAACCTAGGCTCAAACATATTGAACGGCTCTGAAACCCTTCGGGAGATTGGACGGACAGACGAGGAGAAGGAGGTGGTGGTGGATAAGGGGACGGCGGATGATCATGATGCTGCTGATGATGATGATGATGATGAGGATGATGATGATGCCGATGACGATGATATTGATGATGACGATGATGATGCTGATGACGACGATGATGATGATGATGATGATGATGATGATGATGATGATGATGATGATGATGATGATGATGATGATGATGATGATGATGGTGGTGATGATGATGAGGATGATGAGGAGGAGGATGAGGAGGGGGATGAGGCGGATTAGATGTAGGCGGAGGGTGGCCACGGCAGGCGAGAACGGATCTGAATCCAGAGGTGTTGTCACCGCCCTGGGACTGCTGAGTCTTCCTCTATTTAGAACTTAGGTAGATTGTGTATCTTTCGGAAGGCTGCGCGCGACGTTGTTTCATCGCGGGTCATTTGCAGAATTGGTCTTGTTGAATACGCGGCAGGGCTCCTTGGCCATGGACGTGAATACGTATCGCTGGTCCCTCCCTTCCGCCATTCACTTTTCCCTTCCTTACGGTGCCCTTCTTTCCCTTCTCTTTTCCTCTCTCTTTTTCTGTTGCGACAGTTCTGCGGTTATCCGAGACATTGCCGAGTGCCATGGCGGCGAAGAGGAAGCGGCAGACTCAGGAGACGCAGCTGGGGGCGAAGAAGAGACGAGCAGCCCAAGGAGCATCTTCCTCACAGAACACAGCCCGGCGGACGTGTATCGCCGGCTGCCGGGTGGTCTCCCCAGAGGAGGTGGGCCTCACCCGGGAGCCACTGGATCTCCTGCGTGCCACGGTTGACCTGGAGGTGAACAAGCTGGGATCGTGCTCGGGTGTCGCGCACCTGATCTTCAGGGACGGGAAGTGCGCCTTCGCCCACGCCGCCGGGATGGCGGACATCGAGCGAGGCCGTACGTTCGGCCTTCAGACCATTTGCGCCCTGCATAGCTGCTCCAAGCCGCTCACGGTGGCAGCCTTCCTGACGCTCGTGGACGAGCAGAAGGTGCGTCTCTCCGATCCGGTGGAGAAGTATCCAGTGAGCGCTGCTGCGCGCATCCGTCACCGCGCTCGGGGAAGCTTTGCAGCAAGGCGTCTGCGACCGCTATCGAGCCCTACCCCTGCGGGTCCAGTCGGCGCTGGGGTGTCGAGCACCCCCCGTTGGGGTTCACATGGCTGGACATCCTTCGAGTTCTGAACTGCAGCAGGCTTTTCAGAAGTCTGACCAGAAGGTGTAAGGCGCACATGTGGCTGCCTGAATGCGGTTGTGTGCGACGGCTGAAGGTTTGAGCTTTGAATTGCTGTTGCGTTTCCGCTCGGGGGCCTGTGGGGCCTTTTGGGGGCCTCTTAGGTGGGCCTCTCGGGGGCGTCTGGGAAGCAATGAAGCATTGTTGGGGTGTCGTGGGCCATCTTGGGAGTTTCTGGAGGCCGATTCCCCCCAAACGGTAAAGTGAGCCACTTCGGCCTCTGAGTCGAGAAAGCGTTGAAGCTTGTTGTCGAATCTCAGTCTCTCTTGTGTGTGTGTGTGTGTGTGGAGGGCTGTTCTCGTTTGTAGAGACGCTGCGTTTCATGGTTACGAGCAGCCAGGGGCTCGATGTAATCTACCGCGGAAGGCCATGCCACCCTGCTTGCCTCCAGGGTGCCCTGGGTTTCTTGGGTTTCGATGTTTTTGCGATGTAGAACATGACGTTCCCATGCCAGAAATCAATGGACGTCCTGGGGTCTCAGGGTTGGGTTTCTTGTGGAAGGTTTCTTGTGGTCCAGCTCCTACTGTGCATCTGCCGCGCTGCAAGCGCGGCGGCAGATACGAGGTTCTCAGACCGGATTGCGCTGCCCACCGGGAGCACCCGGACTGTGAAGACGCCCGCTACCCTCCGGCACCTCGTGGCGCAGGTCGCAGGCCTCCGCCATGGTGATGAGCCCGCGTACAAGCACGTTATGGCACGCTTGAAGGATCGAGTAGGGAATCGACTACAGAATTAATTTATCGCAGATTCAGTGTTCTCTTCGGATCTACGGAAACAGACTTAGACTACTCAGTAGTTTTGCGAACATTCCACGTGTTCGTCGTAGATTCGAGGTGGAAATCAAGTCTGGGGTACACAAATTTTGTAGTCGATACCCTACTGGAAAGGACCACGAGATCACAGACCTTAAAGGCTTCTGCGATGCCCTGGCGGACGTTCCCCTGCAGTCTGAGCCTGGGGCGCTTCACTACTACAGCCTCTGCATAGATGTCCAGCTGCCTGCGGCAAGTTCTGCCACCGTGCCAGCGCAGCACCCATGTGTGTCAGCTCAGAAGACTGTAACATGTGACGCCTCTCGTCTCTGTTCCTGGAGGGTCTCTAATCGGGCCTGCCCCGGCCCTCTTGAGGCTGTCTTGGGCTCCTGTGGGCTCTTCTTGGGGTCCCCTTGAGAGCTTCTTGGCCTGTCTGGGGGCGTGTTGCACCGTCTTGGTGCCGTCTTGAGTCGTCCTTGGCCCCTTTCGGCCGTCTAGGGGGGGCTGTTGAGACTGTCGTGGGGGCCTCTTGGGTCCCTCTTGGGCCATTTTGGCGCTCTTTTCGGCCGTTCTGTTTTTTTCTTGGGACATCTGGGCGCCCTCCTATTCTGTGTGTATGTGTGTTGTCATGTCCGTCATCGGGGTCTTTAGGTATGTTTTCGTCTCCTCGAAGCCCTCTTGAACCTATCTTGAGCCGAGAGGGCAGGGACACACAACATCTTCGAAACCTTAATGCTTCCCTACGATGTTTGAGTGTTTTCGACATTTCCAGACGGCTCGCTGGGTTTTCTTAAGTGTCTTGGAAGCCTGTTTGCGCCTCTTTGGCGCGTCTTGGGATCTTCTTGGGGGCTGTGGTCTGGCTCACGAGGCAACGTTAGGCCGTTCTGACGGCTTTGGCGGCCTCCCTGGGCCGTCTTTGAAAGAGGGTTGGGGAGCTTTGGGGACCATCCGAGAGGCGTTGCCCCTGCGTGAGGAGACTGGGGGCCCCTAGAATGTTAGTACGTGGCTTGCTTCACGCCCCAAGGGCCCCGTGGCGCGGTGGCGGATTCTCGGCAGAGTCTGCGAAGTGGTCAGCGGACAGTCGCTGGACAAGTTCATGACAGAGAGGCTGTTCGAGCCGCTTGGAATGAAGGACACGTATTTCAACGTACCGCGATCGAAGCAGGGTCGCAAGGCGGTGATCTACGACTGCAAGCGTGCGAAGCACCCTGGCGCGCGCACGCCATTTCAAGCGCAACGCTGGGAAAGCGACCAGATGCACTCGAAGGTATTCAGTGGTGGAGGCGGCATGCTGAGCTACTCCGACGCCGGCATCTACAGTACCGCTGAAGACTACGCGCGCTTCTGTCTAATGCTCCTTTCTGGTGGCGTCGCCGCAAACGGGTGCCGCGTTCTTCGCAGGAGCACTGTGAGCATGATCTGGCGAGATGGCCTGGCACCCTTCGCGCAGGCCGATGGACGCGTAAAGGGCTGGAACGACTTTGGCGGCAAGGACTTCCGCTTCTATTGGGACCACCACGCGTGGTCAATGCTGAACGCCACCCTCGACATCGACCAGGGAGCACCACGGGCTACAGGCCCAGCCCGCCGGGGTAGCACTTTGTGGATGTACGGCATGGGCGCCTACTGGTTCATCGACTCGGCTCGCAAGATTGTGGCCGTGTCAATGGCGCAGTGCTTCAGCGACAGGCAAGAGGACCGTGGCTCCGACTGCGTCCCCTTCCTGCGGCTCGCGCTGCTCGGGGCCAAGGGCGGCGCGAGGCAGAGGAAGCCGTTCTACTACGGCAAGGAGCCCTGACGCTAGCAAGCTGGGCCTCCTCCTCCTCCTCCTCCTCCTCCTCCTCCTCCTCCTTTCTCACCCCAGCATCCTTCTCCTCCGCCTCTCCTCCTGCCTCGACCCGCCACCGCCACCTCCCCCTCCGCGTCCGCCCCCCACCTCTACGCCCGGACCTCCGCCTCCGCCACCCCTGCCGCCGCCTTCTCCGAGACTCTGACCCTCCGCCCCCGCTGGCCCACCCCCGGCTGCGCACCTCCTCCTCTGCCTCAGCACATCCGGGACCTCGCAGGGCATCACGAGGGGCGCAGAGATCACAATGCGCTTCGCGCGTGGGCCGGAGCGGCTGCCCTTCTCCACGGGCGGCGCGAGGGCGCGAAGACAGCCGCGCGTCGCGCATCGCGTGGCACGATGCGCGAAGTCAATGGACCCACGGAATCCTTGCTCTCCCCTTCTGGGCAGTTGTCGTCGTCGTCGTCGTCGTCGTCGTCGTCGTCGTCGTGGTCGTCGTGGTCGTCGTGGTCGTCGTGGTCGTCGTGGTCGTCATGGTCGTCATGGTCGTCATGGTCGTCGTCGTCGTCGTCGTCGTCGTCGTCGTCGTCGTCGTCGTCGTCGTCGTCTGCACTGTCGTCAGCTCAGCCCCCCAGCCTGCTCGCCCTGCCTGAGGGGCCGCGCAGCCGGCGGCCGAGCGGGGCGCGGCATATGCGGGGCCTCGCCGCTGCGCGGTGGGGCGCTGCGGCGAGGGCACGCGCCGGGTGCGCCCCTCCGCGAGCCGTGATCGGGGTCCTGGCCGAGGAGTGGCGATCCGGAGGTCCGCTTCGGAAGTCCGAGTTCGGAATTCCGGATCCCGGATTCCAGATTGGATCTCCTTCTTCTCCCTCTTTTCACCCCCTCCCTCTTCTGATCCCCCTCCTCCCCAGCGCCGGCTCTCAGCAGCATTCCAGATTCCAGGTTCCGGATTCTGGAATGGACCTCCAGATCTCCGGATTTCGCATTTTGGGTTCTGGATTCCGGATCGGGCTTTTTTCTGCCAGGCATCCAAATAGCTGGATTCTAGATTCCGGATTCCGTATTCGGGGTTCCAGATTCTGGCTTGGACCTCCTGAAATTTTGATTCCAGATTTTGGATTCCAGGTTCCAGATTCCAGATTCCGAATGGGACCTTCTCCCTCGATTCATTCGTGTCTTCCATCATCTCCTTCCCCTCGCTCCAGCGCCAGCTCTCAGCAGCATTCCGAATTTCAAATTCCAGATTCTGAGTTACGGATTCAATTGGACCGCCAGATCTCTGGATTCTGGATTCCAGATTCTGGGTTCCAGAGTCTGGATTGGACCTCCGGCCTTCCTCCTCCCATCCAGATTTCCTGTTTCTGGGTGACGGATTGGATTTCCAGTGCAGATCTCTTGGTTCCGGATTCTGGATTTTGGGTTCTGGATTCCAGATTGGACCTTTAGATCTCCCGATTCCGGATTGTGGATTCCAGGTTCTGAATTCCGGATTGGACTTCCAGCTTTTCTTCTTATACCCAGATGACCAGATTTCGGATTCCAGACTTTGGGCTCCGGGTCTCGGATTCCGAGTTGGACCTCCACCCCTCTCGTCTCATCTTCTTCAGCTCTTAGATCTGGATTCCGGATTCCCGATTTTGAGTTGGACTTCCTTCCACATCGTGCTTTTGTTTGCCTCTTCGTCCCCATCATCCCTCGTCCTTCCTCGCGCCGGCTCTCAGCAGCATTCCAGATGTCAGCGTCCGGCTTCCTGTTTCATTTTTTTGGATTGGACCTTTCTTCCAGATAGCCAGGTTTTGGGTCCCGGATTCCGGAGTCCCGATTCCGGCTCCGGGATGCCCGATTTTGGATCGGTCTTCCTTCCACCTCATCTCCATCCTGCTCTCCTCATTTTCCGCATTTTCAGTTCCAGCTCTCCGGACTCGTTTCCGAGTTAGCCTTCCCGTCCAAGTATTAGGGTTTTCAGGCTGTGGTTCCGGGTTTCGGGTTGATCTCCACCCATCTCTTATGTCCCTCGTTCTCCTCACCTCCCTCATGCTGCAGCGTTTGTTCTCCGATTCTGGAATTCGATTCCGGATAAGCCTCATTGTCTCGACACGGCCGCACTATTGCACCCTCTTGGGAGGATGAGATGGAGGGCGTGTGGCAAGCTCTTCCTCTTGCTGACCTGCCTCCTCGTCTTCGTTCTACTTCCTCCTTCTGACACCGCGAAGTCCACTTCAGGACGCCCAGTATCATTATCTGCCCAAGCTTGCCCAAACCCCGACCCATATTCTATACATATACACACATATTATATTCCCTCCTTTGCACGCCCCGAGGCCCACACCCCAGATGGTCGCAGCAGTTTCCTGGCGAGGTGGATCCTGAGCATTTCATAAGCCTCTGAACTGCCCCTGAGGAGGAGGACGAGGAGGAGGAGGAGAAGGAGGGTTTCCAAGAGTCTCTCTGATCGGCCCGCACTCTTACCTCTCAGGATTCAGGCTATGGTAAACACATTTGTGGGTATGTACATGCGGCGCACCTGTGAGCTCGTCAGTGGCTGAGGCTTGCTGGAACCTAGGCGCGCGAAGCGCGCGCGTGGTTCTAGCGAGGAAAATGTGGAGGAGCAGGATGGGACTAAGCGCAGACCTCGGCAGTTCATTTTCTTAAGATTTCCGTTCAAAGCGAGCTGGGTTCGCAATCCCTCGGGTACGAAGGCTGCGGGCGGCGTCCGCCACGCTCAGGGCCTTGGCCTCGAGAAAGACCTGACTCAGGATCTGCTTGAGGGTGGCACCGACTGGATGAGCGACGGTGATCTGATACTGCACTGCGACCATACCCCTCAGGCGCTGGCTGCTCGGAGCGTGGACAGAGAAGATGAGTCACGTAGTTCATGATTTCAACCGCGGTCTTCCTGGCAACGTGGTCGGTCCAGAACTTCTCCATCGGGGTGATTGTCAATTCGTCCTGGGCAGCCATCCGCGCAGCATTCATGACCAGGTAGAAAATCGTCACAAAAGGTGGTGCGAACGAAACGAGGTCGACACCGTCGTCGCCCAGCGTTCGCCGCCAGACTGGCCCTCGCCAACCGGTGAGTCGACGGGATCAGGAACATGCTCGAGACGTTTTCGAACGGCTCCAGGCCTTCAGTGTCGGTCGCGATCATGGCGCTGGCCTCGAAAAAGACTATTGCCAATATCTGCTTCTGCGCTATGCCAACTGGATGTGTGATTAGCTGGCATTGCACTGCTACCATATCCTTCAAGCGCTGGCTGCCCGGAGCGTGGACAGAGAAGTGAGTCACGTAGTTCATGATTTCATCCGCGGGCTTCCTCGTCACGTGGTCGACCCAGAACTTCTCCATCCGAGTGCTTGCCAACTCGTTCTGGGCAGCCATCCGCGCAGCATTCACGACCAGGTAGAAAATCGTCACAAAAGGTGGTCCGAATGAAGCGAGGTCGATCGACACCGTTGTCGCCCAGCGACAACTCCTGTAGGCCGGCCGCTGCGTCGATGTAGTTCTTATTTGCTGCCAGACTGGCCCTCGCCAACCAGTGAGTCGACGGGATCAGGAGCATCTCCAAGACGTCGTCCTGCATGGTCGCCATGCCGTGAGCGCTAGCGGAGCTGAGGCGACCAACGCTCTCTGTCAGGTCCGTCGCTTGGCTGCTGTGGGTTATGCCAACGTTGTTGCTGCCTATGCCCTCGCCCTCGCCCTGATCCTTCTTTTTCCAGTCCCCGTCGTTGCGTCCTCATTTTGCCGCTTGACCCGCTGTCTCCTGAGATCCCCAGGTCCATGGCGCTAGCGAAAGGCATGGTGGATGCGCTGAGCCCAGGTCGAAGTGGAAGGTGTGAGCAGGCGTGCTCGGAGTTCTCATCACAGGATGACCAGTTTGAGCCACATACGCTGTATCCAAAGGATGGCCGACGGCGCATCGTCTTCCTTATCCTCTTCGCCCTATTGCCGGCCTAAGAATGACCTTCACGATTTTGAGCATTTTGGCGACTTGGGCCCCAAATCTTCCGAATTGGGGCACCTTCCCAGCGATTTTGGACTTCAGCGCAACTTTGGCTCATGACCGCAACTGTTCCACCCCTATTCTCACATCTTAGGGGGGGATGATGAATGGACCAGCAGTGAGCGGGAGAAATATATATATATAATGATATATATATATAGAGAGAGAGAGAGAGAGAGAGAGAGAGAGAGAGAGAGAGAGCAGGAGACAGAGAGAGAGAGAGAGAGAAATATATGTCTTGAAAGAGATATATATATATAAAGATATCGAGAGAGAGAAATAAAATGAGAGAGAGAGAGAGAGAGATAGACAGAGAGAGAAATCACACAAGAAAGGGAGAGAGAAGGGGGAAGATGATCGAGGACGAGGGGAGGAGGAAGAGGAGGAGAAGGAGGAGGAGGAGGAGAAGGAGGAGGAGGAACAAGTAGGAGATGGTGGAGGAGCAGGAGGAGGAGGAGGAGGAGGTGGAGGAGGAGGAGGAGGAGGGGGAGGAGGATGAGGAGGAGAACGAAGCGGAGGAGGCGGAGGAGGCGGAGTAGGCGGAGGAGGCGGAGGAGGAGGAGGAGAAGGAAGAGGAGGAGGATGAGGCGGAGGAGGCTGAGGACTCAGGAGAAGGAGGGGGAGGATGAGGAGGAGAAGGGGAAGGACGAGGAGCGAGAAGGAGGATCATGAAAAGGAGGAAGAGGATGATGATGATGATGGTGCTGATGATGATGACGATGCTGATAATGATGATGGTGATGCTGATGATAATTATGACGATGATGATGATGCTGATGCTGCTGATGATGGTGATGATTGTGGTGATGGTGGGTGGTGATGATGATGGTGATGATGAAGAGGATGATGATGGTGATGGTGGTGGTGGTGATGATGGTGATGATGATGATGATGATGATGATAATGGTGGTGATGATGCTGATGATGATGAGGAGGATGAGGAGGAGGAGGAGGAGGAGGGGGAGGGCGGAGGAGGAGGAGGAGAAGGAGGAGAAGGGGGAGGAGGAGGAGGAG